GGCATCCCAGACGCTGATATATGGTATATATCTGAAGGGAATATAGCGAGGTGCTGTCACGTGAGCATAATGAGATATTTTCTAATCCATTAGTAACTAGGGATAATTGTGAATAATAGTGAGAAGGAATTAAAACAGGCCCAGATAACTTGCAGCCAAAAATTCTGAGGAGGTCTTGTTCTGTTTGATGTGAAATTTTAATAAATCATGAACTCCAAGAGAGATACCAGCAGACTGGAACAGTGGTGCTGTTGTGTGACTATCAGCTGTTGTTTAATTAATTAAACACTGCCATCAGACAGCACAAGTAAACATCCAGATAAATTTTCAAAAACATTTGTCTGAATGTTACTGAATGCTTTATGATAAACTGAAAAACAGGATGATAAGTGATATAATAGGGCTTCCGGCTCCAGTTCTGTCACAGTTATGGTGTGATCCAGTGGAATTGGATTCATTGATCTCTTGCCTTTCAGAAAGGGGCAATGCAGCTCAGGGAGTAAAAACAGTCCATCCAAACAGGGTTTTGTGGGAGGTAATGCATTCATTTTAGTGAAGTTTAAACTACGTGATAAAAGATGATATAAAAATGCAAAACTTTACTTTATCTGCCAACAACAAAAACATGTATTTTTCCCAAAACATCTTTTAATCCACTCTGTTTCTAAGTCTCTCTTTGAACCTGCAATTATTTAATGTGATTTTGTCAGTACCATAAAGTACTTGAACCTGACAGAATTCAAGAGCTGCTGTTAGGGTTCATTGCTGTAGCAGGAGATGGTGGGTTTAATCCCTCCACAGATACTGAAACATTAATTGTAACTAGTGGTTTTAATAGTAAAAATATGGGATTCCTTGCCTCAGACAATAGGATTGCGGGTTTATATTCCCCATTATTCCTGCACACCATAAACCTTTACAAAACACAACATTAGTAAATCTTAACAGGAGCACGCACATGCAGAGCTACTCAAGAAAATTCTCCTATGTGGTCAAACCTTTAGGATTTAAGAAAGATGTCTTTCTCCTATCCTTCCAGTTACAAGAATTATAATCTGAAAATTCCTTTGCTTCCTCATTTGTTCATCTTCCTTAATATCTTTTTTATTTCTCTCATGAGGTAAGGTACACCAGCAGTTTTACTTTACTTTCATAATTTGTTTGTTTGCAATGTTAGGGTAGTGGGTAACTTCACATGGCAAGGATGAGATTAGCCTACCATTCAATTAAGTTAGCACAATTTGGTGATGATAAATCTCAGACGTCTGCTAGAAAGAAACCTGAGCTGCTGCCACTGGTAGTTTTCAAAGTATTCCTACTGCAAGAATCAGTTTTGCCTTTTGAGAATTAGACTAGTTTTTGATTTTTATCCAATTAGTTGTTCACTTTCTAAGTGCTGCTTTAATTGGTATCCTTTAATCCAGGCACTTCTGTCAAAGGGTAAGAGTATATTAAATAACGTGTATTTAGAAGGTGGTTGAATCTGCGATATTTTTCACTGCACCAGTATTTGGGGGTCATTGAACCTGTCAAACTTGTTTGGGCCAGTAAGAAAGTTTCTCTGAGTCTGTTCCTTTTAAGGAGTGCAGCTACTGTGAGTTACTGAGCAATGACATGCACAAAGTACACAGAGTGGCAAAGAAAATAAACAAGTCAGCTGGAGTGAATATTTATCACTGTGTAAAATAACAAACCAAATAGAAACTAAACCACCCACCCTAAAGAGAAAGCCACACATGATTGTTAGTACAAAATAGAGTTTATTTTAATCTCCCAATTTTGAAATACACATAACATTAGGTGTCTGTTTCTCTTTGAATCTCTGTATCCTACATAGCTGTTTACTCCTAAGAAAAGTGGATATAAACCACTACCAAATAAAAACCCTGTATCCATTTTTCACAGGTTAAAATGATCATGCTCTATGAAGGCCCAGGAAAAAAACACATTTCTCATTTTTTCAGTACTTCTTGAGTGAATGACAGCAGGATTTCCAGTGCTCTCCTACCATTGCTCTCACTCGTGTTAGGTAAGAACATACTCTTAGCTAGAAATAGTTAAGAAAAAGTGTATACTTAATTTAGGAGTAAAACTGAAATATTATTGATATCAACATTCTGCCTTGAAGTTCTCTCTCCATACCAACAACACTCAAAAAGCCACTGTGAGCCATCAAAACTCCACTTTTAAAAATACCAAAACTGAAGTTACTTCCCTCATTGAACCTACATTGATATATTTTTGCTCATTTTTTCGAAAGTATGATCTGCACCACTTCTACACTCATTCCCTTTTTTCAACCGACTACTTCCATCTAAAGCACATGATAAAAAACGAGGTTATGAAAAATCTGAAAGTTCCTTCTACTGTAGCTGTTCTTAAGGTTCCTACCTCTACCCAAAACCACAATATCCACTCTCTTCCTGGTTGTTACAGAGCACTGTTTCTTGGCCTTTTTAGTTGGTACCCTCCTGATTTGAAGATGGTGTTGACTCTTAAGGAATCATAACAACAAGGAAAACCTGATCAGCAGAAAAGAGCAGTATGTTGTTTCGTGTGCCTTTACTCTTGAAGAATATTGATGTACAAGAAGACAGAAGGAAGTACCTGTAGCCATTCTATGATTTTGTCACAAGATATTATCTGAAAATGACTTCTGACTGTCGTCCATGAGGTCAAACATAAATACCATCCCACTTAACAAAAAGCAGTGATTTAAAACTTTTCCCAGCTGCATACAAACACAGATTTTTTCAGCTACTTTTCAGCAATGTGGGCATGTCAGGCAATCAGATGTTTCAGTTCTAAGCATTTTTACATCATATCACATCAGATTTTTAAAAATCTCAGACCTACCCTTAGCAAAACATACATTTTTAGCTGCAGGCAGAATTTTTACCACAGACAGTTATTTATATTATAACCAGCTCTCAAGAAAAATGGTATGGACATCAGGCTTTTACATATCACTTAGTTTTTGGCAGCCTTCTCAAGATAGTTAGGAGTTCATATGCTTGCATCTGTGGGAGTGGGCAAGCCTGGTTAATGGTGGATCAGCCAGCGGAGTTAAAGGGAAATGTGCTGGGTGCTAATAACTGGTCTAGAAAATACCACTCAGTTCTGCACAGCCTCTTGGAGTGTAACTTTTAATAAAGACTGGAGGCTTGTACAGACAAATGCAGCTGCAAGGTACTTTGAGAGGTTTTATTTCTCTTCAGCTGCACCACCAGAGATGTAACAACATTTTGCATAAACAAAACCCTCAGGAGCTCAGCGGAAAATATTGATAGCCTTGTAATCTGCACAGTTCCATTACTCAGATACAGGATAATCCAACTGCCAGCAGTGTAAGTTTATTGAAGAAAGCAACAAGTAACCTGGAAAAAAATAGCACTGGTGATTGGAAGAAAGCTTAAGCTTATCACATAAATGCTAGTTTCAGGAATAAATCACCCAAAGGATTTCCTACACTCTACTAACTTGTTCTCAGATGAAGAAATAGATGAAATAGAGTGTAATATGTTGGGAAGAGTTCTTTAGCTTGTTAAAAAATTTACAGGTAGGGAACTCCAGTCACCGAGAAATTGTTTAGAACTTCACAGCATTATGGCACAAATAAAAAGCTACCCATAAGAGATGGGAATCTGTGTAGCTTCCCTTTCCCTCTCCCTTCATTCGGCTGTTGCACTGTGACACTTTTTTGTTGCCTTTGTTGTTAAGGAATCACTAATGAGGGAATTGGGACTCTCCTCCTTCGAAAAAGGAAATTCTGTTGATCCTTCTTAAATGAGCTGATTTACTTCTGTGGAACCACGTAAGAAAACCTCATGCATTATAATCCTGAAAACTCTTCTGTAGATGCTTATTTTTGCTTTTGAATAATGCTAATAAAAGGTAAGAGATCTACAGTAAGAATAAATTTGGACTTTGGATTTTTTCCTTGGAGAGTCAACCCTAATGTGGGAACAAAGGTATGATGTTGTTAGTGTAGTGGGAATTGTACTGCTGTGTACACCTTTCTGTAGTTCACAAAAACCCCCCGATTCTGAGACTTATCTCAAACTGTATATACTGGTCATCAAATACTATTAGACAAGGCAAATATTTACTTGCACTAGCAATGAATAACATTATTTAGAGAATAACCACTTTTGTATGAAACTACAGGATCAGCAAACTCAGAGGATCCTGAGTCCTTTAAAATCTGCCTGCGTTCTTTCTTATGTCAGGAAGGTATTCTAAAAAGTTACTATGGCTAAAAAGTATAAAAATATTTAGCTTTCAAATTATGAAGCAACTGCTTTGTAATTACTTACTCATATATTTAATTGGTAAAGGTGGAGACAACTGCTTTCCATGGACCAAGAAACAGTAAGTCTTGATTTAAAAAAATATTTTACACTCACAATATAAATACACACAACTGCCTATGGGGAAGAAGTCAACAAACCACTTATGCTTGTTTAAATAAGTATTTGCTTATCTTTCTATTTTCTAGTGGTTTCACCTATCACCGTTGCATAAACTTTGAGCCAAAAACTTGTTGCTTGTTATTAAATACATTTAAAACTCTGCAAGTTCAAAAGTTCAAGTATCATCACAAGGTTTGTTTTATTTAGAATAAACCAGTAGAGAAAAAAATGATAGGAGGGTAACAAAGAATCAAACTCTAAGGAGACTTTGAACATATGCACAGAGAAAGCAAAGCTGAGAAAAAAAAAAACTTCAGTAGTTTAATTTTTATTGTATACACACTGTTATTATAAGCCTGAAGATCTAGTGCCTGTGCAGTAAATGTTTCCTTCCCCTCTCAAAAAAAAAAAAAAAAAAAACCAAGCAAACCAGAACAAAAAAACAAAACACAAAGAAGAAACCAAAACCAAAACCACACACGTAATGACCTTGACAAGAGACTTAAAAATTATGTGCTGATTTTGCAGACCTTCAGTAGAGTTAGAAGGTTATAAATATCATATTCTCCACTGTTTGCAAACTTGTAAATGAGTTTCAAACTCTGGGACACAGAGTATGACATAGCGTTGCATTCACAGGTGTGTCCTAAAGCAACTATAGAGGTGAGTCTGCCCAGGGAACAGAAGGGGCTGCACTGAAAATAAATCCTGAAGCCACGGGATCTGTAGCCTGAAAGAGTTCCCAACTCGACCACCCTCAGCATGGAGTTATATTTGTAATTTTAGCACAGGGGACTATGTAGCTCGCTCTCTCTGGCGCTACAGTACTCGAGCAGCTTGCTTGCAGTTCCACGTCCTCAAGGGAGACGGTGGTAATTGTTCGGTAATAAATCAGTGTTTTCTACATTACGGATCAGCAAACACGCCTTTTGTAACAACGCTGCTAATTGCTACCTACCTATATTACCACAGACCTTGAACCACTCGTGGCAGGCAGAAGCAAAGCAACTGTTGCTTTACCATGAGGTGGGGTCGGCTCCCAGGACACCGGCACGGCACGTCGATGGAGCAGCCTCGCGTTAATGCTTTTATAGCTGCCCCGAAGAACACTGGTTTTACTACTGCAGGCATGACTTCGATCTGAAAGATTTTCCAAGGTTGTATTCCTTACGAAATACAAGCCAGTAAGTTAAACACTAGATTTAACTACGTAAGGAAGGAGTGGATACAGCTATTTTTTTTCTTTTTTTTTTTTTTTTTAAAAAAAAACAAACAAACAAACAAACCAACCAACCAACCCAAAAAAACGAACCACCCAGAAAGAAAACCAGCCGACACCAAAAGCAGGCACGTCCCCCCTCCTTTGCGCAGCTTCCATCCCTGTTGAGCGGCAAAGGTGCTAGGTGGGAAAAGGGAAAGCAAGCCCCGGGTACGGGGTTTTGCGACACCGACCCCTCGGGTCGCCGCTCTGCCCTCCGCCGGCCTCGGAGGGAGGCGGCAGCGGGGCGACGGCGCTGCACCCCATAACCCCCCTCCGACAGCCCCCCTTACCCCCCCCCACCGCAGGCAGGCAGCCCTCCCACACACCGCGGGGCTCCGGGATGACAGATAGCCTCCCCTGCCCCACCGGCCTCCTAAACTTTCGCCAGTGGGTGTGTGCGTTTTGGCTTCTTTTTAATTAGTTACCGGGGGGGGGGCTTCTCGGCGTGCGTGGGTATTTGCAGTGGTTTTGCTTTGCTTTTAAGCAGCCGGCCGCCTTTGCTTCCCGCGCCCGTGGGAGGAGGGTGGCTCCCGCCCCACCGGGGCCGCGGGCAGTCACGGGAGGGGCGGAGGCGCCACCTGCGCCGGCGGCGTGGGGGTGCGTGGGGGGGGCGGCGGCCGCCGCTCGGCGAAGCGGGGGTCGGCTTTCCTCCGCTCCCCCCACCCTCCCCGCGGCCACGGCCGGCTGCTGCCTCTCCGCCGAGGCGAAGGCGTCGCGGCGCATCAGCGCCGAGATCGAGCGGCAGCTGCGCCGGGACAAGCGGGACGCCCGCCGGGAGCTGAAGCTGCTGCTGCTGGGTGAGTGCGGGCTGGGGCTGCCGCCGCCCCGGGGCGGGCAGACGCCTGGCCCCGGCGGGGCTCTGCTGGTTCGGGTGGGCGCTGGCGGCGGTTGTCCCAGCCGGGAGGGCTGGGGAGCAGCCCACGGGCAGCCCCGTGCGCCCACCGCCCGCCTGGCTGGGTCGTCTTCGGGGAGAAACCGAAGCGCCCGGGCGCTGCGAGGCGGCCGCGGCGCCCCGTGGGGTGATGCTGCGGGGGAGCGCGGTGAGCGGCGGGCGAGGCGGAGGCGGCGCCGCTGCCCACGCCAGCCCCGCGGCGCTGTCGGTGGGGGCCGTTTCACGAGTGGCAGTCCGGATGTTGGCGGGGGGCTCTGCCGCGGGTGGAGCCGGCGGCTTGGCGCCTTTCCGGCAGCGGCTGCTCCGCCCCTGCCGTCGGGTTCCTGCTGCTCCGGGGCCGGCGGGCGGGAAGCAGCCCACAGCGGTGCCTGAGAGGAAGCGGGAAGCTTGAAACCATCTGGCACAAAATCTTAAACTGAGGTGAAGCCGCCTCAGCCCAGGAAAATCTCTCTTCTCTGTGGCAGCAGCTTGTGCCCAGACAGCTCGATGCAGAAGCTCTCAGGCGTCAAAACTCCCAGCGTGGGAGCAGCTTCTCTGGCTATAGCCAGTGCCGGAGGAGAAGTCTGTGTCCGTGGCGCAGTGAGGAGTGGGTGAGCTACAGGCTGCCGTGTCCTAGTCCCCAACTCTCCATTGCTGCGGACTCGGCCTTCGTCTCTGCTGCGGGTGGGTCAAGGTAGAGCGGCTTGCAAAAATGGGCCTCACCGAATATCCCACCAGGCTTCCAGCAGTCAGTTTTTAGGAAGACTGAACAAAACTGTAGATTGGAAACTAAGTTTAAACAGGCTGCTCTCACTGTTGAACTGCGAAATGATTTTAACATGAAACCGATGGAAAAATGAAACCCCAAAATACTGACTCGCCCTCGGTGCCATCTGTCTGGTTTGCTATTGCCTTTGCCTATTAACTGCGTAGAAATCTGTGGTTGACCGATGCAACAGTCTGTTGGATTTTGGATTTTGCAACAAATATTTCTAAGAAATAAGAATTGTCTGTTAAAAAAATAGTGGAATGGTTTATCTGTGCTGCTGATGTCTTGAAAGATTGTGAAATAATTTTTATACCAGTTTACTTTTCTTCAGTGTATGCTCTCACCTTTATGCAATTTAGATGTTATAATGTATAGTGTTTTCACACTTTCTCCTCAGTTTCCTTTTGGGTTATCACATGCGGTGCAGTGTTGATTTCCTTTAACTGAAAACACCATGGCTGTTTATATTCGTTTACTATTTTTACTGGGAAGACAGGTGAGCATGAAAACAGTTCAGTTTGTTTTGAAAAACTAAACAAAAATACCGCACAAACAAAACCACTTGTTATTATTCTGTATTTTTTTCTTATTGAAATAATTGTAAAAGACACCTCCAGCTATATGCAGCCATGTACAGCTATATTTGTTGTGTGTTATGCACAATGGAAAGAAACCTTTCGTTCGGCAGGTTGGGTATTTGAACGTCAAGTGGAATATACAAATAACACGGCTTGGTGTTCAAGCATTATTATATAGGTTTTTGAATAAGAAATGCAAGATCCTTAGTGTGATTTTAGTAAAAGATACAGGGAAGTAAACAGAAAGGTAGAACCTAGTAGGCAAATCATAAGGAGCTGCTGCATGTAGAAACTGAGTTTGTATGCCTTCATATCAGAGATGAGATGAAACTTTTAACTGCGGGTGGTGCCCTTTGGTAACTCCTGGCTGTGTTCCTGTGGAAAAGCTTGGTCGACGTTGTTGGGCTATGGTGGGGAGAGCCCGTGGACGACCAGCCTGGAGAGTCTTTGTTCTGGAGTTGAATTTCTCCAACCCTTGTGTTATTTAGATAAAAACATTTTTCACAGCTATCTTAAAGGAAAGCTTTTGTCCATCTTGAGACTTAGGTTTATTGGAGAAATTAGAGTGAAATCCCATGTCCCTGTTCGCCATGAAGTCAAATAAGGCTATTGGTTTGTTTTGAGGGCAAACTTGTCCCTTGTGATGTTTGAGTCCTAGTTTAAAAGTTTAAGCAACTGTCATGCTAGAACTTTACAGGGAAAAAGTTTGACTACTGTGTGCATCCGCTTGTTCTTGTTGTACCATAGTCAGCTTCTCCTTCTTTAAAAAGTACTATATTTGCTTGTTGTAGTGCAAAACCGTCATGGAAGACCTTGGGTATAAAAATGTATCTTCCTATCTGGCAAATTTAGCAGTTCCTTTAGTCTTACATGATAGGAAAAAATGTGGTTATTCTGGATTACTACCTATCCAGCAATGTTTTGTCATCAAAAAACAGACCTTCAAGGAATGATGCAAGGGTGGTATAAACATGACTTCTCTTCTTTCCCTAGCCTGTACTGTCAGCTTCCAACTGCTCCTGTCTCAGGAGCTTCCTGAGCCACATGGGGGTTCTGAGTTTTAAGCAACTCTCAGTTGATTCCTCTTCGATGAATTTATCTAGCATTGTTCTGTCATCCACAGCATTTTGTGGCAGGAGGTGGTCAGCTTACTTGTGTTCTGTGTTAAAACCCATGTCCTTTTGGTTTTGATTGGCTTATTCCTTTTATTTAAAGCCTCTGGAATACATGTTTTGAAAGAGACAGCAGACTGTCAGTGCCTATTCATTCACACTCATGACTCTTCTGGTTTTACAGACCTGTTATATCCCTGTTTAGCCATCTGTTTTCCAAATTGAAGCAAACAAGTGAGATTTTTTTTTTTTCTTCACTGTACCCATGCAAATGCATGGCAGTGGTGTGCTCATAAAGAGGGGTATAATATATTTTGAAATCTTGATTCTTCCTGAGAAATATACTGGGAAATGGCTAGCTTTATTATTTTTATAAAAAACATTGATTTTCATTGTTACCCTTGAATATCTGTTCCCTGCTTGCTTTTCTTTTTTTTCCACTTTGCTTTTTAATTCTCTGCCCCTCCCTGTCCTCACCATCCGCCCTCAAATGCATCAGGGTTTCCCTCTCAACACTGGTTGTAGACTTTGGATAGAGCTCAGATTGTTCCACAGTGCTGAGACCCTTAGCAGAATGGACTCCATTGCAGGCATTATGGGTTCCTAAATGAAGACACCATTAAAAACCTCTTATTTAAGAGGGATTTGTTGCTGGGAGAAGCAGGCATTTCTTTAACAGAAACAAAACAAAGTAAATTTAATGGCTTAGAGGATTAATGCTCTATTTGTTTCCTGGTAGCTTATTAGAGGACATAATAATTTATAAATAAATACTTAAATTATGATCGTATAATAAAACTTCAGTGTAAAACCTCTAAGCACGGGGAAAATAATGCTGCTTGTGAACACACATATGCATCAGACTGTGGACTGTGAGGGTAAGCTCAGGTGGTCCTGCTGAAGGCCCAGTGAAGCCACATCAAGTGGATTTTCCTCCAGCCTGTATCGTTATAATGGCCGTGTGTGGAGAGGGTCCTGTTTGACAGGCAGAGTCAGATCTCCGTGATAAACCGCATTAAGATAGATCAGCTGTTTTTTCTAGGGCTTGTATAATGCAGAGAGATGCATTTGGGGCGGTAATCCACAGCAGTATTAAGAAATTATAAGAAAACAGCAGTACATTGGCTCCTCATTGGAAGTAGAAAGATCTTCAACCAGACAAGACAATGACAGATTTCAGTAGAATAAGACTGCGCTTTTGACAGATGTGCTGTCATAGGTCTTCATTTTCTTTTAAGCACCTGGAAGAGTTTAAATTGATCATATCACATATAGGTTGTCTATGAGCCACTTAGTTAGTTAGTTTATTTCCTCTCTAATTTTAGGCCATGCCTTGGCAAGGAAAAAAAGAAGAAAAGAGAATGAGGCTTTACTGAAAGCTTTGCTGTCATGCATGGGAGGCCGTAGTCACTTAACAATTTTCCCATTTAAAACATAAGATAGAAATTGCGAAGCTGTAAAACTGAACCACATAATACCATCATTCACTTCGGAGTCTCTAATGTAGTAAAGGAATTAACCAGAACTGATTTTTGCAGTTCTCAGAGAAGTGTCCTGTATATATATAGAGAGAGTACAAACATGCAGATTTTGACTGGCAGCACAAAGTCCTGTGAAGGCTCATATGATTCCGAGGATTTGACAGTGGTCCGAAATAGAGTCCTTCTGTGGGACCTGTTTTCCCAGTTATGCCAAAAATCCCCCTAGTTTTTAAATATACTCAGCTACAATCTAGGATGAAACAGTCCAGTTTTATATTTTCACTTATAGTCACATGTGTGGACAGATGCACTGTTCTGAACCAGGAACTTCCATACAGGTAGACGAAGTGCTTTCTGGCATTCATTGCAGGAACAAGACGTCTCTTTGGACCTTTTGTTTCCTTAAAATAAGTCATTATATTACTGCAGGATTTGAGGGAGCACAAATTAATCTCTCTGAGAAAGTTCTATATGTGTCAGCATGATTCATTTTTTTTATGGCACTGGGCAGGCTGACATTCATGGATGTGGTAAAATGCAATTTATTATTTTTGAGTGGTGGCGAATGGAATAAGAAACCTGTTTATGATGAAAACAATTTGAATTTGCAGAAGTCTGAAAGTTATAGACAAAGGAAATATATCAGTCTAGTGACGGTAGAGTCATATTACCGAAGTCCTTAATAGATCTGTCTGTGTTAATCTAAATCAGCAGACTGTATAATTTAACCTAAAACCCCCATATTTGGATTTAATACAAGCTCAAAATGGCAAGAATGAGTATCTATAGTGAATAGGATATTTTTCTCAGCACACTAATGGCTTTGCATGTTGGTTTGTCAATTTTGTGCTGTAGCTCTCAGTAGGTTGTAATTACCAGAAATGTTTACTCTTTCAATTTTTATGCATTGTTTTTATTACTGTCAGCAACGAGATTTGTCTGTGGTGAATGAAAGGCTGGTGAAAACCTTAAGGATTGAGACAGAGC